CATGAACTCGTTTCGTGCGACTTCGGAACCGAAGGAACACACCAACAACGTTGAATTTACCCGCTATCTTCCAAATATGGTATATTAATTTATTCAGTTGTTTATTTAGAGTGACGTCCGCGGTCGAATGCGATTGGCTATCGATGTCAGTGCAAAGGTCATATGAATATTAAAATTAAGTGGGCGGAAGGAAAATTGTATAGGAGACAAGCTGGAGTCTCGTGTGGCGATAGCGATAACACCGGGACGAATGGTCTGGGGTAGTGGAGACTACCCAGTTGTGTTAGAGTGTAGATATGTAATATTTGCAATTCATGCTAATTGTGTTGGAACATGTATACGCTAATTGCAATTTGATTGTTAGTCATAAAGAACTTGCATAACATTTCTGTGATATATATATATACACTTTTCATTGAAAAATGTCAAATATAACTGTTTCTTAACTAGACCAATTAGTGGAGCTATTTCAGGTTTGCCTGTTTTGATTCGTATTCATTCTCTTGCTTACATCAGTTTTTTAACATACATGTATGAAAGGATACTAAACCACCTAAGAATACCATCTATAAGAAATAACAAAAATTGTGTTCTCATTTTATACAAGTGTTATGTATTTATTATTTTACAAGTTTGATTAGTTAAAATTCTGCAATGAACAATGATTGATGAAAAATTTGGCAAAGAAAATGTAGTTTGTCTTATTTATGATAATATCTTAACTTTAGGGAAACATCTGTTGGCTGAGGTTTATAGTGATGCTGATGTATCCAAAGAAGTTTTGGGATTGGTTGTTGATGATGTGAGTATGACTTCAAAATGTCAGCGACTGACAGAAAAATATTAAATATCTGGTCACGTTTTTTTTTTTTTTTTTTTTTTTTTTTTTTTTTTTTTTTTTCCATAGGCCTAATTATTATAAACTCACTATTTTAAGCAGTAAAAAAGTGTTTCATCTAAAAATTAACGATCCCAGACCGTTGTTTGTGGGGATAAGTGGTGACTTTGAACCTCAATACAAAAGACTGAAAGAAACACTTCAATATCTAGTATGCGTTTGATTGAATCCATTATAACTTGGCTATTTATAATACCCTTAGTTTTCAAGAGTTTAAAAAAAAATAAAAAAAATCTGACCGACTGACTCAATTTTCCAACTTGAGGGCAACATAATTTTTTTTTTTTTTGGCCTGATAAACTGGTATATTTTAGAATTGTAACATTCTGCTTGTTTTGGAGATTCAAACAAAAATTGCTGAATAAGTGCAATTTGTTTTTTGTTATGGAATCATTGCTAGTTTAAGAATACAGGTGATTCTGTTTAATGTTGGCACACAGATGAGAGGCTCTTTGGTAAACATGTATATCATGAGACTTACTGAACATTGAGATTGACTACCGATAATAGCAAACAAGGACTGCAAATTGTTAATGCTTGTTTAGTGTGACTTAAAACTCTATTTTATCATAGTATGACGGAGATAAGAAGTCTGCTAATATGAAAGCAATTGAAGTAGAAAACCAAGTTACTCTTGGTAACACCAATAGAGATGTATTACATAAACACATCTCTAGCTTTATCAGGTATGTACAGTCATTATGGAAATAGATAATGTAT